TGGGATCTCTCCTCTCTCTCATCCTCTCTCGTAACTCTCTCTCTCGTCTCTCTCTCTCTCTCTTACTAGTCTCTCCTCTCCTCTTTCTACGCTTTCTGCCGTGTGTCTCATCTATCTCTTTCTCTCTTTTCCAGTACTACATTTTGCCCGGCCACGGAGAACATGATGATAGGAATAGAAATTGCCAGCACAGGCGAAACTGGTAAGCCAACAACATATTCCCTTCAGATTGCCACACAGTAACGCCTGGCTTACGCCTAGGCGGGCGGCGTTGAGAGCAAGCCGTTCCCAATCTTGCGATGACGAGGAGATGACCGAGTACCTCTGAGCTTGTCTGCCTTACTTATGCGTGTTTGCGTGGTGACCATCGTGAGACGTGCGTGTCGGGGACTAACCGGGTGTGTGTGCTATGGAGTGCGGTGTGTGTGTGTCTGGGGTCGCGTGGTGGTGCGTGTGTGCGTGTCGTGCGTGTGTGCACGTCTGGGCTGTGTGTGGCTGTGCGTGTGTGTGTGTGCGTGGTGTGTGTTGTCGTGTGTGCGTGCGTGTGTGTCGTGTGCTGGGCGGTTGGTCTTGTGTCGTGCGTGTTGCGACTGTGCGGTGTTGATGCGTGTGCGTGGGGCCTGTGGTGTGTGCGTGCGTGTTGTAATTTTGTGATGTGTGTGTGTGGTGTGTGTGTGTGTGTGCGCTGTGCGTGTGGTGTGGCGTGTGCGTGTAGCGTGCGTGCGTGCGTTGCTGTGGCGTGCGTGAAGCGTGCTGTTGTGCGCGTGCGCGTGCGCGTGGCGTACGTGTGTGCGTAGTGGCGTGTGGGGTGTGCTGTGTGGGTCTGTTGTGTGCCTGGTGTTGTGTGTGGTGTTCGGTTGGTGTGTGTGCGTGGGTGCGTTGTGGCGTGTGTGTCGTGCGTGTGTTGCGCTTGCGTTGTAAATTGTGTGTGTGTGACCTGTGTGTTTTGCGTGTGCGTGTGCGTGTGCGTGTGCGTGTGCGTGTGCGTGTGCGTGTGCGCGCGTGTGCGTGAGTACATGCGTGCGTGTGTGTGTGTCACCACGGTGAATATGAGAGGAGAAAGTTCACTCTTCTAATAAATGTTGATTTATTTTCAGAACTCGTTACTGATCACAATCGAGAATCAGAACACAAATCCACCGATCTTCGAGAATACACCATACACGCTCATCATTAGCGAGGTAAAACGAGGTTAAAAACCACATGCATTTATATATAAGAGTGTGTTATGTATCCGGGCGTGTTACGTAGTATAACAGTGTGGTTTTTAACACAGGCACTTGTGCTAAGTGTGACGGTAACCGGGGCAACGTGCTGTCCTGGCTGGCCGTCAATGCCTCTGATTGCGAGAACCTGCGAGAGGGGCAGACCACCGGCACTTGGAGCGTTTCAATAAAATATAATACTAAATAAATACGAAATCTATTTACTACCAAAGTCTTAATGTTTCTCTACTCTCTTTCGCCTATTATTGCCGACAATTTCCTGTAAATGCCGTGCAAACGCTTCTCTGCAATAGACATGTACACCGCGCGTACGCTGCCGCATAATGACACGTATTATTATATACAGGAAATTGTCGGCAATAATAGGCGAAAGAGAGTAGAGAAACATTAAGACTTTGATAGTAAATAGATTTCGTATTTATTTAGCATTATATTATTTTATTGACACGCTCCAAGTGTCTGTGTTAAAAACCACACTGTTATAATACGTAACACGCCCTGATATATAACACACTCTTATACATAACACATTATATATATAACACCCTGATATATAACACACCCTTATAAATAAAACATGAACCATGCCATCGTATATATATACAACACCTTGATAGAAGGCCACATCCTAAAGAATAGCATACCATCGTATATATATACGACAAATTGATAGAGATCACATCCTAATACGTACAACTTCAAATTACATTTAGGCTACAATTTATAATTTATAGTATTATTCATTTACAATTTACCACGTATCAGTGTTAGCGATTCGCTGACAGAGCGTGTGTGTGTTACGTGACAGAACATGCCGGTTAATATGACTGTGTTTACTGAGATCTACGCCACGGATAAGGACCACATGAACGACTACGAAACGCTAGACTACAGCATAGTGGTGAGTAGACATCTACCCTTCCTCTCCCACACACATATATATATACCCCACACACGCATGCACGCACGCATGCACGCACACGCACACACACACGTACGCACGCGCGCACACACACGCACGCGCACACGCACACGCACACGCACACGCACACACACGCACACGCACACGCACGTACGCACACACGCACGCACGCACGCACGCATGCACACGTCTCTCTCTCTCTCAATCTAACCTCGCTCGTAACCTTGTAAATATTACAACTGTATACTCATACAACTGTTACTGACAATACTGTAGCTGTGACACATACCATTCGATAGCACGCAATGAACTTGAGTGCTAAACTTCGCAACTCTTATATTAGACGAGCAAAGTTTAAAGGATAGTGCATATTCTGAACCTAGTCATTAAAGAATTGTAGTTGGAACTGCGAGTCTGGTCTGTACTAGCATGGGCTAGGAGAAAGAATTTCCCTGCGCGGTAAGCTACTACTAGCTGCTCATAGGGTCTATGTGCTCCCCAGGCGTACTGCCGCGAACGCTTACTGCGGTACGGTCCGGTATATACCGGAAACGGTACCCTCGGTAACTATCTGATTACGGAGGCGTTAGCCCGTTAGGGTTAGCGTTAGGGTTCAGGGTTAGCCGCGAGCTAGGCGTAGGCGACTCCCTAGACTCGTTAGTGGAGTAGGCGAAGGTACGCGGGTCCTGGCACTATTAGATCATGTACCAGGGTACTCGTCCCGGTAATAAGCCGGAGTATCCAGGATACGTTCCGCAGTAGCCTCGCGGAACATCAGACCTTCTCCAGCTTTACTTGATAACGTTTACTCAATTATACTCAATGTACAACACTCGGGACTATACAAAATCAGTATGTGTGTTACCCCAGTCCTCAGCAGCAGCAGAAAAGCCTTGCAAATTACGTATGAATGATACTCCTAGTAAAGCGCATAGGGTCTATGTCCCCCAGGGTACTGCTGGAACGTACCCTGTGTACGGTCCGGTATACCAGAACGTACCCTGGTACCAGAGCATATAAATCAACGTGATTTATATGCTCTGCTGGGACTATCTAATATGCCGGACCGTACCTCGCCTACTCGACTAACGAGTCTAGGGAGTCGCCTACGCCTACTCCCTAACCCTAACACTAACCCTAACCCTAACCATATCAGATAGTTGCCAGGGTACGTTCCGGTATACCGGACCGTATCCAGGGTTCGTTCCGGCAGTACCTTGGGGGACATAGACCCTATGCGCTTTACTAGGAGTATCATTCATACGTAATTGGCAAGGCTTTTCCGTTGTTGCTGATGACTGGGGTAACACACATACTGATTTTGTATAGTCCCGAGTGTAACTTATGTATTATGGTATTGGTAAGTTACTAAGTATGACTTTGCAGTTTGTACCGATTCTGGATGTAAAAGGCAGTAAATTCAGAGATACCACGTACATATAAAATATCAAAAATCAATTTTAAATTATTGAAGTGCCTGAAATGAAATATACTTGTATTTTACGTATTGATTAAATTGGTAGCTGGCCCCGAAGCTAGATTTTTGTGAATATGCGGTCTAATGTGATACTTAGTAACTAATTAAAACAGATGCAAAATTCAGAACTTACGATAACAGGGGATCACAGGAACTTCATAATTGGATGTCACAAGGCTGCTGATTCAGTGACTGGATGAGACTCGATCACAAAATTCACATTTAAACACATTTATATGTACATCCCAGTATGCATATTATGATGGTTAACCACATATAAATAATATCTGATGAAAAAATGACACGGTCCTGCACTGTATTCTGCACAGCAGGACATGACGTATGAGTAGCGATCGTATGTCAAAATATTCAAAACAAGAGAACAAACGCCACTTGGAAATTTTTGTTTTGGTATACTATCGGTAGATGAGTAATGTTTCTGGCGTGTTTTCCTTGAAAAACACACGTTTTACTAATTAATATAAAATATAATATCACATTACAATTGCAATATATTTTATATAGGCTTGTCAGTGGAGTCAGGTGGGAGTGATCAGGGGCTGAGAACAATATAATATACATTGTATATCTGTATATATCTATCTGTACATTGATACATGTATGTACATGTAGTACATTGATACATGTATGTACACGTAGTACATTGATATATGTTCTCAGATCAGGGGAAGGGGATGTACTAAACTCGAAGCATGTTCTTGTGGTATTACAGGGCGGCAACACAGATGGCATGTTTCGTCTGTATGAGGTTACCGATCCAATGCTGATCCTACAAGCAGCGCTCGACTACAATCTAAAATCGGCCGATTACTCACTGATCATAGAAGCTAGTGTGAGTGTGTGTGTGTGTGTGTGTGTGTGTGTGTGTGTGTGTGTGTGTGCGTGCGTGTGTGCGTGTGTGTGCGTGTGCGTGTGCGTGTGTCTGTGCGTGTGTGCGTGCGTGTGTGCGTGCGTGCGTGTGTGCGTGCGTGTGTGTGTGTGTGTGTTGTGTGTGTGTGTGTTGTGTGTGTGTGTGTGTATACGTGTGGGTGGTGTGCGCGCGTGCGTGCGTGCGTGGGCGTGCGCGGGTGCGTGCGCGTGTGCGTGTGCGCGTGTGCGTGTGCGTGTGTGCGTGTGCGTGTGCGTGTGCGTGTGTGTGCGTGCGTGCATGCGTGTGTGTGCGTGTGTGTATGTGTGTGTGCGTGCGTGCGTGTGCGTGCGTGTGGTGGGGGGTGCGAGCGTGCGTGCGTGCGTGCGTGCGTGCGTTTTTTCATCAGCATTGACAGATTGTTGATGATGATTGATCGATGATTGACAGGACGGTCTGCACGTCACCAGCACGACGGTAGAGGTCACTGTGCTCGATACAGATCGTATGCCACCGATGTTTCAACAGGACACGTACACGACCTCTGTGATAGAGAAATCTCCCCCACAGGTGAGAGTCACCTGGGTAGCCATCCAGCCTTCCAACCCCAGCCCTCCTCCTCCCCCATACACCCCTGCCTCCACACCCACCTCTCCAGCCTTCCAACCCCACCCCTCCTCCTTCCCATACACCCCTGCCTCCACACCCACCTCTCCAGCCTTCCAACCCCACCCCTCCTCCTTCCCATACACCCCTGCCTCCACGCCCATCCCTCCTTCCTTCCAACCCCACCCCTCCTCTTCTCCCATACACCCCTTCATCCACACCCACCTCTCCAACCTTCCAACCGCTTCAGGCGCTGACCCCGACCTTGACCTTGACCATGACCTTGACCGCTGTCCCTCTGCTTGCAGGATGTTGTCACCGTCATGGCCGCTGACCAGGACCGGGGGCTGGACGCCGCCATAGTGTACGAGATCGTGGAAGGTAAGGCAGCAGCAGCAGTAGTAGTAGCTGTAGCAGCAGCAGTAGTAGTAGTAGTAGTAGTAGTAGCAGTAGCAGCAGCAGCAGCAGTAGCAGCAGTAGCAGTAGTAGTAGCAGCAGGAGCAGCAGCAGCAGTAGCAGCAGCAGCAGTAGCAGCAGCAGCAGCAGTAGCAGCAGTAGTAGCAGCAGTAGCAGTAGTAGCAGCAGCAGCAGTAGTAGTAGCAGCAGTAGCAGCAGCAGTAGTAGCAGCAGCACCACCAGCAGCAGCAGTAGCAGCAGCAGCACCAGCAGCAGTAGCAGCAATAGTAGCAGCAGCAGCAGCAGCAGTAGCAGTAGCAGCAGCAGCAGTAGCAGCAACAGCAGCATATGAATATGTATATACATGTATTATGTATATGTATATGTTTATGTTTATGGATATGTATATATATACATATATCTCCTGATATATATATATATAGTCCGGGAGCCATGGGGTCATACCCTGCACTGAGAGTTAAAGTGTTTTTTTTGCTGATTCTTGTAGACTATGTGTTGGTCTTCACTTTCTAGGTGGATGACCACCCGTCACCCTTGAGCAATTTTCTGTATTAACACTTTTGTATTGAGAGCGTCAACTCAAAAATTGGCGAAAAATTAGGGGTGGGGAAAACAAAAAGTCTACTAGATCTGTTGTTTTTAAAGCTAATGGATCATGTGACCACTCAAAATGTTAGTATTTAAGAGCTCTTTCTAATGATAGGTGAATAATGAGGTCACTAGAGGTCAAAAGGTCACCAATTTTTGACCTTCCTCGAAATCTTGAATATTGCTTTTATGACCCCTGCCTTGGTTAAGAACAGGCTCTAATGGTGCCTTTTACCCCTAAATTTGTTCAAGGAGATGCCCTGCTATCATTTTAAACCGCCCATGTTCAAATATGTTGAATTTTGACCAACCTATTACAAAAGAAAGACAAGTAATGTGCTAAAATAGCTGTTTTTATTACCCAAAAGTTGATAGTCTTATTTTTGGTAAGAAGTGTTTCAGTTCCAACTCTAACCATCAGCCCTCTCTAGAACAACCAATGCTGTAGCAAGCACAAAACATTGTGCATGGTAAGTGAACGACATCTTTGCATGAACATTTTCTTGAGCATGGACGATCACCAGAACAACCACATTTCATCAAGCGAAGGATATATTCTTGGGCACAATAGGCATTTTCTGGAAGTGTGACAGGTGTGAGTGTCTTTGTGTCCTTTTCCTTCATGCATCCAAATTCCTCAGGGTCCAACAAAAAGGGATTGTTTTCCTAAAGTGATCGCCAAAGAATGGCTTGGTAGTGTGCACGTTTTACATTCTCTAAAAATGCTTCAGTCGTAGGTGGCAGTGAACTTAGTTTAGGAGACGAGGTGACGCCCTTGCCATTTTTAGCAGCCCAAAGCTGAATGCGAATCTGTGACATGTNACTCTAGGTATTATTAGCTCTTGGTATTATGTATATGTATATGTTTATGTTTATGTATATGTATATATATACACATATATATGTATATATATATATATATATATATATATATATGTTATGTATATATCCATACATTTGAACGTTAGCATAAAACACCATAACAATCACCGTCAGTCTGTGAGTCATTGTTTATTGCCCTGATGCGGGGATTCATAAAGAGAGGGGGCGAGTGCACAGAATATAACAGCTAGCTCACACCTCACTGGCTTAACGTGGGGGGTGAGCACACACAACACAACAGCTCATGCCGTTGGCGTGAGGTTCTATTTAAGAGTGAATGCGGCGCAATGCGTCGCTGTCAGGGGGCGCCACCGTTAATGTCGTCATTGTTGTTGCGGGGCGACGCAGTGAGGGCTCTGGGAGCTGCCGCGGCCGACGCACCGACCTACCTGGAGATTGATCCAACCACCGGAGTGCTGCGCATCGTCAAACCGGTCGACCGTGACAATGACATCCAACACTTTTATGTCACCATCAAGGTGAGCGGAAGGGCTGCACCCTGGCGCCATCTGGTGAACAGTGGAGTAGTCGATAGTTGTGTTGTTAGAAATGTCGTGGCGAATGATTAAAATTATGAGATTGAATTAGAAAAATGAATTAAAATTGGGAGTTACCCGTATTTCACGGGAGCAGAGTAAATGAGTGGTAAGTTTGCGGGTGTTGGGGTGCATCATAGGACTGCGAAATTATTAACTTTAATTATTTGTGTATTTGCGAATTAAAAGAGAATTAATGTAGCAAATTCTGCCCGCGAAATATACCGACTGCCATTGCTTTTATTATTATAAAATTCTAGAAAATTAGGCATACGTATTTATTTATTTGTTACATATTATAGCAATTACAGAGTTTAATTAATTTAGTAACGAGAGTTGGAATTTCTATTTGTCGCATGTTTTTGTCTGGCGCATTAACTCTTATTATTATTCAAAAAATCATTCAGTTATTCAAAAATTATTATTCATAAATTAATCATTTAATCATCACGATTATAGAACCTTATTAATTTAGAACCGAGCGTTATACAGTAGAGACTTCATCACGTGTGTGTTTGTGTCGGGATGACGTCACAGGCGTCTGAGGAACCCAATCCGGATTACCGGTACGCCTATTGCACCGTCGACATCAAGGTCATCGATATCAACGACCACGACCCCGAGTTTGACCCGACCAGCTATGACGTCAGCATACAGGAGAACTCACCTGCGGGAACGTTTGTTGCTCAGGTGTACGCGGTGGACATTGATGAGGTATGTGCATGAGAGCTGATCGAGTGTGTAGGCCTACAGAGATTCCCCGACTTTTGGGTGATACTCGATCCATTAGCAGTGTTCCTAACTTTAATGTCATTAATGGTCATAATAACG